GGTATTATAGATAGCATCCTCTCTCCTCTCTCTACTAGATACGGGTACGCAGCTCCCATTAGATACCTGTATGCGCTGCGTGAGAAAACCAGGGGTCTATGCGCGTACAGCCACATAGATAGCGAGAGGCGATGCCCTGACTTTATTTTTGAAAAAGTATACCAACTGTGAAGGACATTTTTTGGTTTGCAGGTTCTATCGACCTCTACTGGACCGCGTCCTAGCAGATATTGTCCACCCGATGAAGGCTATCAACATCACCTTTGTAGAATACGTTATGCTGAAAGCGCTGGTCACTTTCAAAAGCACCACCTGTGAGTATTCCACGTCTACCTATTAAGATTTAAATTAATAAAGCTATATTAAATTCAAGGCTGTTTTTCAGCAACTTGTAATATTTCACCCGCACTGAAGAAATGCCTTCTCTCCCAAATTGATCTCATATTTGGAGCGCTCTCACTGCACTACGCTGGTCAGAAGATGTCATCGGGTGACGTCGCTGAGCGAATGGGCAGCGTCGTACTACTCATCAGCAACATTTTTGTAAGTACTACAGCTGTGAATACTAAGGAAAGCTGGTTCCTACAGCGAAGTCCTGACTAGTGAGCATTTTTAGGAAGTCGGGATGCAATGTCTTGAAAGTCATCAAGTGATTCAGTTTTTTGACTTATGGAAGTTGGACGATCTTCTTATCAAACTGATTTCGGAGTCGAAACAGATGTAAAACTTATTCCTCTAATTTAGATGAATGTATAGAAATGTAATAAAAATTAATGTAGATGAAACACCATTAAATAAAAAGGGACTCTTTCCGAAGATGCTCAATGAAGTGTCCATGAGACAAATGCACACAAAGGAGCTTCGTTTCGGATGCTACAGGATATTCCCAATTGGCACAATTCCATGCCAAAATCGTTTAAAATTATATTTTTCACATAAAATGTCCATTCAGTGAAGATTTTCATGTCGTTGATCTGGAAAACTTAAACGTTTGGATACTATAGCCTAACTTTTGCAGCGTTACGATAGGCTTGCGATGAGAGATCGATATTTAACTGTCGGAATCGTTTAACAACCTTCATACCAGGAATATTTGGGGTGCTGAGTGTGTATATTAAATTTCTTAAAGCCTTGCTTCCAACTGTAAACTGCCAAACCCTCCCTATACATATTTGGCAAAAATAAAACTGAAAAATTTTGCTGGAAAGGAAGTAAGATGGTGCCGATTCCTAGGGTTTAGCCTTGTTTCTGCCACCCGTCGCTTGAACGGCACTTGATTGGGGATACAGTAAGTCTAGGTCTAACGGGACCACTACTACCTTTTGGAAGGCTTGTGCAAATTTTGTGTTTTGATTAAACCTCCTTCACTTATTTTCCTAGCGAAATTTACATCCTTTATGCCAAACGTAATCCTTTACAGGCAGTGATCACAAAAGAAAACACATTTAGAGATTGAGTCATTCAGAATCTACAGGAAATTCTAATTCTAAAACCTCTTAAATCAATTATTATACAAGTCAAACATACTTAAAGTCCCACGAAAAAAAANGTTCCAGGTTTTATGGAATCTGAACGTCTTCATAAAAGTAGCCAAGTAAAGT